CCTTCCCCGGGGACGCGGGTGGCGTTTGCTGCGAGAGCCACGGCGTGACCGAGCCATGGGGACGCTGGCGTTGTGGTGAATGGCTTGCTTCGGTCAGTGGTGAGGAATTTGGGTGGAGGGGAATTGTGTCAGTCGGGTGATGCACTCATGACTCGTAGAGGTGGAAAGTGCAGAATCGCTGGACGGGTCGGGTTGGAAGGGAGCACAGTGGGCTCATCTGGTCCAGCTTCCCTGCTCGGGCAGGGTCAGCTCAGAGCACATGGCACAGGATTGCATCCAGATGGTTCTGGAATATTTCCAGTGAGTACAAGGCTATGGAGCGGTAGGAATTGTAAAAGTGATGCTTCACTCCTCTGGGCTTATGTTCTCAAAGGGTTCCATGCATCGCTTGGACTCGACAAGTTTCACGCATTTCCCATGCTAGCTCACTGTGTGTACATGCTGGGCATGGACAGTGAGGGAATAGCCAGTATTATACGCCCCAAATGATGGATATATATCCAATGATGGATATTTTGGGTTGGCAGCACTTTCTTAGTGGGTAAAACCTTGTGAAGTACCTCAGTAGGAGACATTAAGAAATCTGATGCCTCCTCAGTTCATGTGTCCAGAAAACTGTGTAAAACCATAAGTCTGTCTGGGAAGAGGTTTATTAAGAAACTGTGCTTAGTAAGGAGCTCAAAATTTATTTCATAGAATTTTAGAATGGTTTGGGTTGGAACAAATCTTAAAGATAATCTTGTTCCAATCCCACTGCCATGGGCAGGGACATTGTCTACTAGACCAGATTGCTCAGAGCCCCATCCAGCCTGACCCTGAGCACTTCCAGGGATGGAGCATCCAAAAGTTCCCTGGTCAACCTGTTCCAGTGCTTCCCTACCCTTACAGCAAAGAACTTCCTCCTGATATCTAATTCCTGTTATTATTCCTCTTCCTAAATCTATTCCCAAAGGGCATTGTTTGCATTTGTTTAAGATGAGTGCATTTTGCAATAAGGAGGTAGAGATTGCTAAGGCTTCCTGTGTATCTTCAGAGACAGACTTAGTGTTTAGGATTAAGTTGGTAGATGTGAAATATTCCTATATTACAGTAAAACTGAGATCTTTGGAAATACATATGGAGGCAAGAGAAGAAGGAAGCATATTTTCCCCTGACCACAACAAAAGGTACAGCTACAGTAATGCTGTGGGTTGTGGGAGATCATTGTAGAAGGTCTGAATTTATTCCTGTGTTGGCTTCTTCTCTCCTTGCACATCCTTACTCCTCCTGTCTGCTGTGGAAAACAAGGTTTACATCTTTGCATGGCAATAAGTGATCAGAGTGCAGGCTCTTCACCTCTTTTGCATACCCAAAGGAGTTTGGTGATGAGAAGGAAAAGATGACCTTCCCCTGAGTTTGGGGTGCTGAGGAGTCCTGGGTAATCAGTGCTGTGCATTTCTTCTTGCCTGTGTCATTCAGGCTCCTGATGTTTTTTGAAGAGCCCTCTTCCCATTCCTTTTCCCCATGCTGGATTTTCCCCTCGTGAGAGGTTCAGAAATCAAGACCTGCCTTTTTGGCAGGGGCAGGAGCGGTGTTTGCAGTGTGACTGGGTGATGTGCTGCACACGTGGCTGCTGTGCCTCGTGCCTGCTCTGCTCCCTCCACATCTGCTGCTGTGGCCAGGAGCCTGCAGTGACACAGGAATATTGCTCAGGGTGCTCTGCTCTGCAGGCCCCATTAAACACCACAGCCTGCTCTGCCAAGCCTGGTTGCTTCACAGCTAGGCACAGATAACACAGTTCTAGGGTTATTTTCATGTGTGCCCCTGCATGTGTGGGTTAGGAGTTGATCTTGCTTCTTTATGCTCAGTCATCTGAAAACCCCAATCCTTCAAGAGTGAAGGATCATTGTCAAATGTGCTGTCTGTGATTCTGGGGACATTTTGTAGCATAAGTTGTTAATCTAGGTATAATCTCTTCTGTGCATGAGTGAGGCTGGAGCAAACAGCCAAGAGTATCAAGAAAATGGAGTATTTTGCAATTGTGCATTTGTAAGCCATATACTTATGACTTCAAGTGGTATCCTGCCTGTGTCTGACTTGAGGGTGGTGCCTCATTACTCCTGATAGTCTCAAAAAATGTCTAGATATTACTGGAAAGAATAATTATGATATTTTTATTATTTTTTTATACCAACAAAGCTTGATCATTTTTGAAATTAATTTTCTCCTAGCACCCCTTTTGTACACACTCACACAAGTGCACGTGGGCACATCCACATGGGTCAGTAACAAGCAGAGCATTGAGATGTTAAATAGCTCAAGTGCCTGTTACTGCTTGGAGCTCATTTCAGTTGCTGCTTGAAATGTTTCCTGAAAATAACAGTGTAAGTCAGGGTTGCAATGCTCACTTGGTGCCTGTGCCAGCTTTAGTCAGAATTGCTGTAGTCACCCCCGTCAGAAGCTGTTAGTCCTTTTAAGCTCAGCCCACTGATGCTGCAGGTGGGAAAAGTGCCTTGCCTGCTCTGCTCAGTGGGTTCTGCAAAGGCAAAAGCTGCATAAACTCTCAGCTCACCTTGCTGGCAGCAGCAGCAGCAAAAAGTTCTTGAATATGTTGAAAAGTCTGTACCTTAATGTTTGGGTGATAAAATGAGGTAAAATAGACAGATGCTGCTTGGGCCCAGCTACCCAGCAGACTGTCTCTGACAATTAATTGTGTAACTAATAGCATAGCTGTGTTGCTTGTTTAATGCAATTAATTAGAATGAATTGTATTAAACAGCAATTGCACTGCCTGTCTGTGGACCCATCTTGTCCTGACTAGTGCTGGATATCCTGTGTCCCATACAGACTTGAGATGGAAGACCAAAAAAATGAAACCTGGTGTTGTCCTGTGCCGTTTGTCTTGAAATATTTTAGTCTGAGTAG